CATTCATCTACCTGCTTGCAGCTGGTATCTGTCCTGTTACTGAGCAAATTTCTCTATGTCCTAGAAAAGGGAAAAGCCTCCATTTGTGTACTAAATCTTTTCCCATCTACTCAAGTAAAATTATCTCAGCAATTCTTCCTTCTCTCTCATAATCTCATTTTCCCATTAGCCAACAAACATGTTTTTTCTATTTCCTTAAAAGAAAATGTTTGCTTAATCCTGTTTGCTTTTTTCCTTCTCTTTAGCAAATTTTCTTAAGTTACTTAAACTGTGAGCACCAATTTCTTTGCATTTTCTCTTGAGCCTATTACCAGACTTTAACACCACCCCACCCAAACACTTTTATGCTGTTAAATTCTGCAGTCAGTTCTCAGTCCTCATTTTATTACATCATTTAGCAATATATGATGCAGCTGTTTTCTTCATGTGGCTTCCAGAATACCACTTTTTTTGTTTTCTTCCTTTGCACTAGCAGCTTCTTTATAGTCGCTGTTGTTCTTTCCTCTTGCTCTTTTAAATATCTTAATGTCAGAACAACCAGCCTCTTATCTACACTTATTCCCTTAGTGACCTCCACTACCCCACAGTAAGCGAATTAGAAATGTGAGGCCTGCTTTGGTTTAATGTAGCAGAAGATATCCAAAGGCTTAAAGAGATTGGAATATTAGAGTGGATTTGTCACTTAAGACCTCACTGCTACTGTGAGAAATAAATTTGTGAAGGAGTCCCAACATCTGTGAAGAGATCAGTGATCACACTTGTCTACAAGTGAGCCCTTACAGCACAAGACTGCAATCACGGAAATGGAAAATCTCAATGAAATTGGAGTAAGTGGATCCAACAGTGATAAGGGTCAAGTGACAGCCTTCAACTGCCAGAGGCAGGAGGGTATAGTTATCACAATGGCTAGCAGATCAAAGCAGCAGAGTCTGACTTGCACAGAACTACAGCACTGGATGGCAGGTTCCTAGAGTAACAGCCACTAAGCCTACTAAATTCACACTTGATCTGTATCAGGAAGAAGTTCTTGGTCAAGAATTTTGTTCAAAAATCTAGCATATAAAAGTACAATGAATTTGTGTCTATTATTCTGTATCCTGAAACCTTGCTGAATTTACTTTTTAGTTCTGGAAATTAGATTTCTTGAGTTTTTTGAAATTTGTTTCATGTGTTTGTGGACATATACATGTATACATACTTATACACATATATAGTATAATCCTTCATCTGTTTATGAACATTCTGTCCATCCAGTCACCTGTTAAACATATTTGAGTTGTTTCCACCTTTTGAATATTGTGAATAATGCTGCTGTGAACACTGATATATAAGTTTATGCTTGAGTCCCTGGTATCAACTCTTTTGAAGTGAAATTGCTGAATCAGATCATATGGTAAATCTGTTTAACTTTTGAGGAACCACCAAGATATTTTTCACAGCAACTATACCTTTTTCATTCCTATCAGAAATGTACAGTTTCTCCACATCCTCACCAACACTTATTTACCTTTTTTTTTTTCAATAAGTATCCTAATAGGAATGAAGTGGTACCTCATTGTGGATTTGAGTTTCATCTCTCTATTGGCTAGTGATATTATCCATCTTTTCAGGTGCTTATTGGCCATGAGGATGTCTTTTTGGAGACCTATCAGTTCAATTTCTTTGCCTACATTTTATTTGTGTTATTTTGTTTTTCTTGAATTGCAGGGAATTCTTTATGTAGTCTGAATGTTAGATGCTTTTCAAATAAAGGTTTTGCTAATATTTTCTCCCATACTGTGCATGGCCTTACACACTTGATATATCAGTCTTTTACTGTTTAATGTTAACTTTTTTATTCTAGATACAAGTTTTGTCAGATAACCAGTTTTCAAATATTTTCTCAGTCTGTAGTTTGTCTTTTAATTCTCCAACTACATCTATCACTGAGGAAACAAGTTTTGTCAGATAACCAGTTTACAAATATTTTCTCAGTCTGTAGTTTGTCTTTTAATTCTCCAACCACATCTATCACTGAGGAAAACATTTTCATTTTGACGAAGTTAAATTTATCAATATGCTTTTAATACCATATCTAAGTATTCTTATTAACCCCTACATCCCAAATGTTTTCTGGAAAAAATGTTATGGTTTCATACTTTACACTTAAATATATGCTCCATTTTGAGTTAATTTTTGTATAAGGTATGAGGTTTAGTCTGGGTATTTTGCCTATAGAGACTCAGTTGCCCATTGTCACTCATTGAAAAGGCGATTCGTCCTTTCAATTTTGTTCTTGACCTGAAAGAGTTTAACCTGAGGAAGAATCATAAGAAAGCCAGTGTGGCTCACAGAGGAAAGTGCTAAGAATGACTCGAGCTGCTTCACATAGGGCCCCCCAGGAAATGGTAAATGCTCTGACTTTATTCTAAATAAGATGGGAAGCTGGAGGATTTAAAATAGCGTAGTGAGATTATTTGTTGAGCATTATATGACATAAGAAAACAATTATCCCACCATACCACAGTGATTGATGTATTTCTTTCCAGGTTTTTTTATCTTACAACTTAAAAAATGCACATGCACATAAACTGCATAGTTCAAAGTAAGGGTTTGTTTGTAATTATCCCCCTTAATGGGTTATTAAGTAACCAGCTCTTTCTAATCTGCACAGTGAGTTTTTTACTCCATGGGGATGTGAAGGAGGCTCACCTCATAGCAAACTTGTTGCTAGCCAGCTCTAACCACTGTATTTGGAAATGCCCTTTTCTTTGCTCATCTCTCTCACACACAGGCACTTTTCACCTTACAACATTTACTTAAAACTTCACGGCTTTGATATTTTCTATAAAATGCAGCTATTAACATCTACTTTTAAGAGTCTGTCTTAAAAAGACAGACTGAGTAACAGACAGTTGCTGACTATGTAATTCCCCCTCCTGAGCGTTTTCTCCTTCCTCTCCGTCACTTAGCTCCCATTCAGGAATGAAAGCATTTTAAAAACACAATTAACAGTAATCGGAGCCTAAGATTCTATCTTTACAGACCTAGTGCCAGAGCAATATAGCACCTTCTCACTCCATGCTTAGAGGCAGGGCACACTACACTGGAACCTTCCCAGACTTCTGAAAATAATTTAAAATGTTGAACAGAAACATGGTAATGTCCTGAACTTTTAGTTAGAAAAATTGTTTAAAGCTGGTTGCTGTCAGTTGAAATCTTAACAACTGTAGAAGTGTATAAAGACTTTTTTTTTTTACCAATAGCAGGAAACATGCTTTGAATGCTGTAGCATAAAACCTACTAAATATTTTATTTCACGCATCCATCACTCAGGCTGTAATTTTAAAATGCTGAGTCATGTTGCTTTTGGAAGCCTGAAGGTTTAAAGCTCTTTCATCTGGATTAAGCAGACTGAGAACCAAGTGTCTCGTTCTCTCAGCCTCGACTTCTCAAGAAGTAACTTAGTAGTACAGAAAGGGGGAAAGTGACCGAGGCAAAACAGTCTGTAGAGTTTAGCTGCCCACATTTCCCCTCTGATTCGGAGTAAGCAGACTTTGGATCACGGCGCCCGATGAATGACTTCAACAACCTTTATCCGCACGAGGCTCCCTAAGCGATTGCTTCACGGAGGCTAATTCCAAAACTTCTCTGCTTCACCTCAAACACGCTGTCCTGCCCTTGGTCTTCAAGCTGCCACCCCCTAGGTAGTCTTCCTACGTGGCGCCACTGCCCCGAAAGGCACACTTTCCTCTCCAGTTTTACCTCCTGTCTACTTCAGGGCAAAGCTTCCCCGAGCTCGGCCTCGCCGCCCACGATCATCGCACTCCTGCCGTCTATCCTTCTCCCTACAGACTCACTCCGTGCCCTGTTTGCTCTGCTCGCACCTGTTCTTGAGATTCCCCAGACGGACGTGGTCACTACCCTGGCGTCATCGTTTTGTAAAGACTTGAAAATAAAAACACTAGAAAAATAAACTTACACTGCTGTGCGTGTTTCTATTAGACATTTTAAACGAGGCTCTTCTTTCGAGTTCGAATGACAGCTCACGACTGTCTCCTCTCACAACTCTCAGCCGAGCCAGAGCAGCGCTATGATGAAGGCACTGTCCATCGCAAGGGCCTCTTTTGGGCTTTAATTCTGGTGCCTCTTTTGGGCACGTTAAAAGCGAGATTCTCCTCAGGCTTTGCCTTTGCCTTTGCCGCGTCCTGTGTGACGCGGGCGCACGTCACCGCACCTGTCGCTCCCGCTTCCTCGCCTGCTCTGTTCCTCACCCTCCTGCCATTTGGGGGACAGTTTATAAGTTTGCCATACGCCAAGGCATTAGCTGGAGTCTTGGAGAAAGAGACCTCTCTTGAGGCTGCTCGTCTCTAAGGGG